AATTTCTCGTATTGTTGCCCCGTGGACGTAGGTCCACATAAATCCCGATGTTCTTTTTTCTTGATTGTGGTCGTTTTATATCTTGTTGATTGTGTGTTGGCTTCGGAGTTGCGCATATTGTAGTAGGCGGGGAGAGTAAAATTCCCCAACACTTCTCTCAATCATTCTCTTTTTAGAATTATGCATGGCAAAACAATAGATTAATTCGCATAATTAGAGGTATATTAATTAATTCAGTCATTGTGGGAGATCTTGAGTATAAATCCTATTCGAAACACTTCATAGGATTTGCATTAGGAGAATTGCTTATCAAACATATTTGCGTAAGGTTGTAAACAAGTTGTATTTGGGGGTAGATATGTAAAATACCCTGCAAGGAGGAGGAGGGAACAGAAGTGAAACGGTACCTGCGAGGAGCTCGTGAGAAAAGAAATGACCCGCGATCCATTCGGCAACTCACTAGAGAAACATAGAAGTTTTGAGACAGTTTGAGAAATTTTACATTTAATTTTATATGATTTGTGAAATTATTATTACCAATTCCCGCCTCTCGGATGTTTTTGTATATAGCCTTCTATGTATTTCTTTATTTTATTTCCTATAAAAAAGATGATTTAAATGTAAATACAAAACTTTGTTGGTTATTATGCAAAAATGTACGAAATCATACCAATACAATCTATCTTAAGTCTCCACAAAACCCTAACTACTCCTTAATCTCTTCATATTACTCAAAAATCACTTGAAAAAAACACGACAACAACAATGCATCTGCTAACTCAAACTCTAGACAAAAATGACAGACGGTCGAAGAGATTATATCTTTTCCTCTCGCAGAAGCCCTAGAATCCCTCTTCGAGTTCTGAAATGAAAAAGAAGAGCACTAAAAAAATAGACATTTTCTTACGGGCCGAATTTATTGTATTATACAGTACTAAAATATATCAGTTGAATTTGTTAGATTAAATGCATTTTTTACAAGTGATTTTTGCGTCAAATTAAGAGATAAGAGTAGCCATGGTTTTGTGGGACTTAAGAAAGCACGTTAAGCAAGTGTCAGGTGCGCTCCAGCTTCTGTTAGTAACGGAAATGCCACGCTCGTCCCGAATACGGAGGGTCGGGATTCAATGTGATTTTAGGGCGTTTTGACGAGAGATCATGATAGGGGCGGGGGGTTATTTTGGTAAGGGATGAAATTTTGGGTGGACGCAAATGCCCTCGTCGAATATCATTGGTTGGGAGTTTTAGTTTCCTGTTAGAAGTAACCTTCACCTTTGAGGGCCAAAAAAAAAAGGAGGGTGATAAGTTGTTATTTTGCTCAGCATCTTACTAAAGACTAGTAATTAAATCTTCTAAAGTGGTAATATTTGAATACAAGCACTAATTAGTTTTGTATAGAGAGCTCTCGTAAGATGTGAGAATACATAAGGACGAGATGAAAGAGAGATGAGTACGTGACTGCCGACGTAGTAATAAGCTTGTAAAGAACTAAGTGAAAGAGGTGTACGTAACTGAGATTACGAGCCGGCCGTTTGAGGTTAAGAATTAATTAGAAAGTGAAATGACTGATTAGTGAGGTAATTAGTAAGGTGGGTGGTTCATTATCAGTACTAGTACAGTTGAGTGTAGAGGGTTTCTCTTATCATTGGGAATGATCAAACTTAGCGTCATGGAGAACATTGTTAAGGTATAGATTGCTATAGTTTTTGGATGAGTTAGTTAAGGTTGACAGAAATAATTATGCTGGACTTGGTCCTTTAATAAAAAAGAGCATATATATAGAACAGGTTTGGATGAAGGGTGATTAGCCGGCATTTGTCGCGAAATGAGAGCATGAATAGAGGGGGAAGAGTACATGGTTGATTGAGATAAGGTCACAACTGCATAATGAGCAATGGATAATTCACTTTCTAGGCCATAAACTTGTCTATTTATTTATTTTTGAGACATAGAATGTGTATAGGAAAATTACTTCCATCTCCTTCACGTTTTTAAACATACGCCCTAAGCATTACATATGTCGCCTCATAAAAGCCAAATTAACTAGAATTCATTGAAAGCTACAAAAACAGCAAGGAAAAACAAAGAAAGAGAACTCAAAAATGAAGGATGGAAGTGCACGCATATGAAAAGTGAAAAGCGAAAAATGAAAACTGAGGAAGCACAGTCGTTTGTTATGGTCGTAATTCGTATAATTCTCTGGTATGGTTGATTTGTAATTACGAAAGTAGAGCGTCCATTGCGCATAAGAGAAGTTACGGGTTGATTTTAAGCTAGCTAGATCAAATTTAAGCTTGAGATTTCTCGTTATTCATATATATATAATTCTGGCTGTCAGTTGCATAGAAATTGATGCATATAACATACTAGTTTTGTTGGTGTATTTCAATATAAATTCTAAAACATCCACATATTTCCTTGAAAAAAAGTATAACATAATGGGCAGCTTAGATGGACCAGTCATTAGAAAATCCTCACAATAGAAGATTAATATTTGAAGCAATGTTACAATATTAAACGTTGGGCACCCCTAGGCGCCGGACTTGGCGCCCAACGTTTAGACGCCTAGGCGGGCGTCTAAACGGTTTTTGTGCTTTTTTTCTTTTTCTTTTTTTTACTTGTGATACTTGAAGATAAATATATATATATACTCAATCAACAATGCATAAATACAAAAATGCCAACACATATGCTATCCAAACTATAATAGTCAATCAAAGATGCATACATACTAAATGGCAAGGTATATAATATCCAATAACTAGAAGTTTAGGTTCCAAAATATCAGCAAAAAGACAGTCAAACAGGTTCAATGTGTAATTCTTAGACAGAATCTCAAAACAAGAACTCACATGTGTAATTTCCCTTATTGTTGACTTATTTTTTGTAGATCAAAAATTGCAACTTCATTCGTTATTGCTGCAACTTCAAAAACTGCTACTTATTATTGTTCTATTTTGTAGGTCAAAAACTGCAACTTCATTCCTTATTGCTGCAAGCCTACAACTATTACTACTGTTGTGTTTCAATATGTTGTTTCTCAAGGGCCTTATTATATTAAGTTAATCTTTGAACAAATGCAGAGAATGAACATGACAAAACCAAATGTACAATTGTAATCTTTGAAAAAAACTCTGTATGTATAGTTGTAATCTTTGAACAAATGCAGAGAATGAACATGACAAAGCCAAATGTAGGGAGCATAATTTTATTGATCATGAGAAACTATAGCAACAGTCCTGTTGGCTACTCAATTAAACTTATTATTAACTTATAAACTTCAAATTGAACTTCAAATTAAACTGTACAACCAAACTTAATATTAATCTCTGAAATACTCCAATGAGCACTTAAAGAACTGTACAACCAAAATTGTTTTGCTTATAACAACAAGAATTACTTATAAACTTAATATTAACTTAAAATTAAACTTCAAACTAAACTTAAACAATTAAACAATTAAACTTAAACAATTAAACTTAAATATTATTTATATTTAAAGACCATTTACTTTAGTCCTACTTACAGTCTTACAGAGATGAAGCTGACTCCCAGGTTGAAGACGAGCTAGAAGTCAGAGATGAGAACGACGACGAGTAACTTTGACGAGATCGAAGACGAGCTCCCAGGTTGAAGACGAGCTCGGAGGTTGAGATCGAAGACGAGCTGACTCCCAGGTTGAAGACGAGCTAGAAGTCAAAGATGAGAACGACGACGAGTAACTTCGACGAGATCGAAGACGAGCTCCCAGGTTGAAGACGAGCTCGGAGGTTGAGATCGAAGACGAGCTCCCAGGATCGAAGACGAGCTCGACGAGCTCCCAGGATCGCTCGACGAGATCGAAGACGAGCTCCCAGGATCAAAGACGAGATTGATGTTCGTGGCGAAGTCGGGTGATTGGATTAGAGCTAGTTTTACTTTAGTTCCTGGATTTTGGTTTTGGGGTTTAGGTTTTGGATTTGGGTTTTTTAGCGTCGAGACCTTTTTTTTCTTTTAATTGTGGGGTGGGCTGCGTAAGCGGCCCGCTTAGCCTTGGACTACCGCCTTGGCGCTCCCAACACCTAAACATGACCGTTCAGGGCATTTTTGCACGCCCTAAGCACCGCCTCCGTCTAGGCGGCCGCCCATGCCGTTTTTTACAACACTCATTTGTTTTTTACAACACTGATTTGAAGTACTATCATTTCGAAGAGGTTCCATGCCTTCAAATATCTTCTTGGAGCAAAGACCCAAAAAAATCCCGCCTAGGATTTTTATTCACTTCCACTATCAGAATGTCAATATATAAATACATAAATTCATCACGTCGGCATCCCATATTTCCTTTTTCTTCAAAATTATGGTTTTCAATAAATCTTGTATGTATTGCAAGATTACTAGTTCGAAAGCACGTGGATAATATATCCGTAACATGCAGTACTTTTCTTTAAGTAGATATTGATTCAGGTTCCTGGGAAGGAAGAAGACAAAAAATAGTAGTACTTGATTAATGAAGTAAACAGATACTTTAGAAGAAAGTAGCTGAAGCGCAGAATGAAAAAGTTGGCCTGCAGCTATCCTCTGAATTGCTAAATACTGGATAAAATACAGTAGACGCTTCATTTCCCCACGATTGCCAACAACTTCTATGGGAGCATAGCTTTCTCCATCAAAAAAATTATTTGTCCATCAGTTGTAGTGGCAACTAACATTCCATATCAGTCCAATCAGTGGGAAAAATGCATCAAAACTACACCAAACCAAGCTAATAATACAGGAAAATGATAGGGGCACACCCCCTCTCTCATTTGCTACAGTACACCGGGCCCCACATGAGATTTTAAAAATTTAAAATCTCATATGGGGCCCGGTACACTGTAGCAAATAAGAGAAGGAGTGTGGTTGGAGGTGTGGTTGAGGGTGTGCCCCTAGTGCCACCCAATAATACATGTGTTCTAACCGTAACACCAAAAACTATAAACTTTTAGAGCCATATCACATCTCCAACTTCGTTATCCCAATATAAGGAAAAGGAATATTATTACTTAAAAACTCGATCAACTATTCTCACAACCAAATGCTATAATACACCAACAAAAATGTACATAAGATACAAACAATAAGAAAACAAAAAACATCACCTGCTCATTTTCTAAGGAAAGGGGTACCTGAACAAGCACCTTCTAATAGAGACAGCAATGTCTCCAGGTTTTATAGGATGGAGAAGCATAACACATGCACTCAAGCACATAACCACACTAACCGTTGCAAATAAAACGAGGCGTGTACCTGTGATTGTGCAAGGAAAACTGTCTGTCCAAAATTTTTGATGCCAATCAATTGGTTGATTTGCGTAGCGGTATTTTCTGTTCCCCATTGATTTATCCATAAACGGAATATTTTCATTTGAGCATGAACAATCTCCATTATTTGCCTCGCCATCCTGGGATATATCGACGAGTTACAAATAGCCTCCAGGAAAAGTTAATGAATGGACAGGTAAGTTTCATATACTAAATTCAAGTTTGTTAATAAAATTTAGAAGCAGAAACATCAACATATCCTAGCTGAGAGTAGTAAACCAATCTCGATTCTTTGCAATTGATTTGAAATAGTTATGAAAATAAAAGGCTAAAACCTTCTCACTCCTATGAGACATATTTTCCTGCTACTAGAATTAAAAAATTCATATAGTAAAAACCGATAACTAAATGAACATTTATCTCATTAACATTGCAATAGCTCATAAAAAACTCCCAACTAAAATTTTTTCTTTTTAAAGAAAATATGAGAATCTAATTGTACCTGAATCTTTGCACTGACAGAACAGCTTAGAGGCATACTATCCCTCTGCATCCAATTGGTATCTACCCCCGATCTCGCATAATGTAGAGCCCTCTGATTAATAATTTCTTTAGCACGGTCTACATATCCTTGAAGTAACTGTAAATCGTCTTCAGGCATTATGCATTCTGAATCCTGAATCCCCGCAGTACCAATCATAACATCCAAATAATTCATTATTACTTCCAGGACATTGACAAGCTCATTCTCAACAGAAATCTTCAATAAGCAAGTTAACCTCTGAAGATTTGTTGAATTGGAGACAGCTTCACTCGCACCTTTACAAGGCTCCTTGAGCAACCATCCAATATCCAGAAGCAGTTCCGATATTGCTGTTTGTTTTGCTACAAACAGCTCACAATAGCTAGGATTAGGACAAGAAATATCAATTTGTGATGTTACACTTTCCACAAGAGATCCATTGAGTACTGCTTGCATCCGCCCTAGTTCTGAACATATATGCTTGTTGCCTATAAGGATAGGAATGAAATTTGAAATTCCAGATTCATTCTCAACCTACAAAGGAAAAGTCCACCGGTCTATAATATCTCAATGAAATTAAGAACATTCAATTTAACGAGCTATTATTACATTTTCAATGTCCAATCTAAATACCACAGAAGTGTTCTAGTCATTTGAATGGCATGAACTTAGGTAGATGCTGGTGTTATTGCATAGCTATGCCTTGGAGAACCAGTAAGTACGTGTACACAATATTTTCATACCTTGAGGAACATTATCAAGAAATTTTAAATTGAGGGATTGGAGAAGACCAAAGTTCAAAAAGAGATTGAAGATACTCAGAATGTAAACAAAGAATGACTTCCAAGCAAAAAACCAGAAATTTGACAATATCATGTAACATACTTACCCTTTTAGCCAATTACACGAGACAAATTGAGTTTACTATATGAGGCAAGGCGGCAGAATGGAAAAGCATTGAAGCAATCAAGAGGTGTATCTCTGATGTTAGACATAAAGTTAAACAGTTGTAACCGGTTGGCATTTTAACATAAGCAGACGAGTGTGAATGCAACCACGAGGTTGGAAAGAACAAAATAAACTTCGCACATTAGGCATCCAAGTATGTTTGTGTATATGCATACGCGTATTTGTGTATAATCGTGTATGCATAGACACAAACGTACTGAGAAATTTACAGTACAGCAGTGGACCAGCTACGAATTCATCATAAATTTATGAATAAGTTCATTAGTAATACAAAGCCATACATAAATTCAATTACAATACCAAATGAAAGCCTGAAACACACAAAATGGAAGCCCAGCCCGTATTATACACTACTTTATATAATTATAAGCATTGGGTATACATACAATATAAACTTTATATGTGTTTATTCCACTGTTATAAATAGCGGTAAATAGCGGCGCTAATAGCGTTAGCGGTCCCTTCCCGCGATGCTATCGCCCACTACGCTATCGCGCAATAACGGTGACATATTACGGAATATGTTTGTTCGCAAAAGCAGCCAATAATGTGTCATAACGGTAAATAGTGAACGATTGCATTCGAAATTTACTTTTTGACTGCTATTTAAAAACGGTTTGAGGCTTACTTTTTTAAAATTAAACTCAACCATTGATCATTGCATTCCGCCGTCTCCTGTGATTTTCAGCATACTCCCGCCACCTCTCATAGCCTCTGGCACTTATCTTGATACTTCCTCTCACCTCCATCGTGAGCTTCTCTTAAGACAGTCCTGTCACCGCTAAGCTCTTCTTCTCAAAGACGACTTTTTGACTCCTCCAGTCATCTTCGGTATTACGTGATGGTTACATATCTATTTCATGTTTAGGATCTCTTTAAATCATCCAATATGTACTTTTAGATTTCTTAGATTTTTCTTTAATTTTTTTTTTTAGTATTTATACATATCTAAATTAGACTGCTATTTGACTTTGCACTTTTTACTGCTATTTTGCCGCAATAGCCCGAAATAGCATCAGCGATGCATCACCGCTACACGATGTTATCCGCTATCGATAACCTTGGTTTATTCACATGGAAAATATCCAATTTGTATCATGTGATTATCTGCGAGTATTAATGCCTGATATGTATGCCATATTGCTACAGTTTCCTTTAGAAGAGTCAATGCCTCAGAGCTAGACCACCAAGCAAAACCTAGAAGCAGCCCCTCCGTCAATATTCATTCCCATAATCAAATTTCTCATAATTTATTAATCAAGTTTGAAAACTAGTGCTTCTTAATGTGTATCACATGCTTGAACCACCTCAGTAGCGATCATAAGAAACAAATGAATTATATAGAAGTTAAGAAAGAGAACCATTTAACATTGTAGAGACATCTGCGATTTCTCAGCATTTCATCTTCCTTTGGCTTATAACCGCCTCCATGATCTCCATCCTTGTTTTTTCCCCCTTGTTAACACCCACCCATTCCTCTCATTCCTCCATCATCGTCCTCCTAGATGGATCTTGTTCTCAACCGCTATAGTGCTTGTCCTTGTTAGCTCACCATGATACCGATGCCCAACAGAATGGCAATGACGATTACAATCAGCTCAAACCAACCCAGCATAATGGATTGTTCACTAATGATTAAATGACAATTTAAAACACACTTATATTAAATGTTTACATGAAATATCTACCAATATTTGGACCCATAAACCAACAGCTTATTCAGTTGAACATGTCACATATAATATCTTCTTGTAGTTGCACATGTTCTCCAATCTACTTGCTGAAGTTAACATGAATAATACATCTAAGTATCAGATTTATACAGCCTGGTGGCTTACCTTAATTTACACTTTATGGGACTCAATTACCTCATCTATTCTTTAGGCCTTGCAATATTGTGAAACATTAATTACAGAACATCATGATAACATTAAAAGTTACTCTACAAAATTAAACTGAAACCAGAACTTAAAGCAAAACACAAAACTCAGAAGTAGTAAAGAGCACCAAAATGTGTTATAACAAACCTCAATAAAAGCAGGACCAAATATTCTTGAATTTGTCTGACCTATACGAATCCTGAACATTTCATGATCGGATTCTTGGCAAGAATTCTCATTTCCATCATAAGGCAGGATTTTCCCATGAGATATGGGACAGCAAGAATCGAAAACCACATATTTTCCAACAAAGGACACAAGAAACCTGCAAGACCAGACACAAAGCTAAACTTTATTGTTCTCCAGACGGACAAGTTAAGTACTTATAGTTAATAGAGAACAAAGCATGAAAGCTATTGATCACAAAATGTAAAATCATCGAATATACCCTCTATAAGAAAAATACGTAAACACGTGATTTGACAATTGAAACTTCTTCTTTCAGAATACAGGTTTGTTAGCTGTGTTTAATAGAACATGAAGCCTGAAAATTTATTGTTCATGAAATGTCCAATCGTCACAGTGATCCAGTTTAAGAAGAACTTCTCGTATGCGATCTGACAGTAAAATAGAAGTGTGACAGGAAGAACACTTTTAGCTAATGTTACAAGTGTGAGAGATGGTTAGCTAGTTAAGAGAGAACATATGCGAATAGTCGAAGTCCAAATGAGGATTTCCACAAAAAACAACTATTTGTGACAAAATGAAAAAACAAAAAAGATAGAAAAATAAGGGAAAAAGAAAATAATAACAGAATCTCCTTTCTGCCTTCCTTTTGATTGATATGCTAATATAGAATGTGAGGAAAGCCGTATGAAATTGATTTAGTATGTTTAACACATCAATCATCATGCTCAGTCTCAACTCTCAAGAGAAACCTTGTAAGTGGTAACATTTTAACCCAATTCCTCATGCACGAAAATGCCCTTAGGAGTAGTTATGAGAGCATGGGAATGCACCAGCAGTCAGTATAAAGTGCCTTTACCTAATGAAGAATCATACTCAGATCAGCTTTTTGAAGTGTCTGCTGGAAGGCTTGGCCTTGGCAGCTTCCCCCAAAGCAATTAAGCGGCAGATTGTTAACGCCTCATTTTCTTGTTACCTGTGACCTGTGTACTGCGCCTTGCAATATACAAGTACATACTAACAATGATAGCTTGTCTTCTCGAATGAGCACTAAATC